AAAAATTTAAAAATTAGCCAGACATGGTGGTACACGCCTGTAGTCCCCGCTACTTGGGAGACCGAGGTGGGAGGATGGCTTGAGTCTGGGAGGTGGAGGTCGCAGTGAGCTGAGATTATGCTATTGCACTCCAGTTGGGAGACAGAGTCAGATACTGTCTCAAAAATAAAAATAAAGGGGAGGTGGAGAAAAGAAAGAAAAGTTTTAATTTAAAAGAAAAAATAAAGAAAAAAGCACATCGAGTTGTCACAAAATCATTGCCTGAGCGTTCATGACATTGGATAAAATAGATTTGGAAACATTCAAACGCCAGCTGAAGGAAAGGCATTCCTCCCATCCCTCAAACAAGGTAAACAGCGACCCACCTCTGTAATAAAAAGGGAACACGTCAGTCAGGGGGTAAGCTGAGCCCATCTGGTGTGGCCGTGATCTGGGGCTTGGCTTCTTAGGCTGCCATTCACTTGAAGTCTATCATCTGATACAGTCACTTTCTTGGTTGTAATCTATGAGCTGCCAGTGTTTACTTGTGAGACTGTCTGGGAGCAGGAAGGGAACGAAGGTAAATACACCAAAGCCCAGCTGAGCAACTGACAGGTTTTACATTTTATTTCCAGGAAATGAGATAGGATTTTCACAAAGAAGAGGTAAGCCATCCTCTCAAAACAGATGCTGCCTTCATGGGCAGCCATGGGGTACACCCAACCTGTCCAAAACAATTGTCAACAGAGGTGCTTCTGAGGTATCAAAACGTAACAAAAACAAATTAAAAAAACAAAACAGAACTCAAATAACTCATTCAACATGTAGTGAGGCAGAGTCTCTGAAGTACCCTGAAGCAGCTGGGTGCCGTGAATCCTGGGGGTGCTTCGGCCAATGATGGCAGCAGGGCCGGCCACCATGGAAGGCAAGTGACTGAGGGCTTGCTAACTCAGTCTCTGTCCCACAAGACTTCTCAGTGGACCTTCAGAGTAGCAGAGTCACGGCCAGAGAGAGTCTTCCAGACCATCTCAGGCTCCCAGTGCCTGGCAGTCTTTCGAATGCTCTGAGAGCATGGTCTTCAGGACAATCTCTTTGCTTAGAAGAAAAAGAAAAGAGAAATAAATAACAGAGGAGCCTGCATTTCCCTTCCCTGGACTCCCTGCTTCCAGCCTCAGCACCCCGATTCTTCCTCACACGGCAGCCACCACAAACTGAGAAAACAGAAGTCAGATCATGTCCCTCTCTGCCCAAAGCCCACTCCCCATTCCTCTCATAGCAAAAGTCCTTTCAAAGGCCTACAAGGCCCTACACAATGTGCGCCTTGCCCAAGCTTCCTCTCCTCATCTACCCACTCCCACCGCTCACTCCTCTCCCCAGCACTGGCCTCCTTGCTGCTCCTCCCACATGCCAGCATGCTCCCCCTTACCATTCCCTCTTTCCCTACATGGCAGCATGGCCGCCTCCTTCAGAGCCTCCCTCAAATAGTACCTGCTCAGAGGCAGCTTCCTTGATTACCTTACCTTATCAAGAACTGCCAAGGCTTTCACCATGACCCCTTCTCCCCTTCTTGCTTGATTTCTCTCCATAGCACAAATTACGTCTAACTTAGATTTTCACTTTCTATATCCCCAGCATGTAGAACAGTGCCTAACACAAACCTGGCTCTCAATAAATATCTGTTAAAGGATGTTAAAGGAGGGAATGAATTATATACAGGAATAGGCAGGGAGAGGAGGGAGTTCTTTCTCTATCCGGAGAGGGAGGGGACAAGAAAGGCTATTGACTTCTTGGCCTCCAGGCTTTTCCAATAGCTTCTGCTTCCTTGATCCCAGAAAGGTGGAGTTCCTGGCCTATGCCAAAGGCACAATAAAGTCACCAAGCAAATTGTCCCCTTTCTCTGAGACCGAAGTCTAGAATGCTTTGGTAGGAGATTGAAAGGCCTACAGAAGTTATTTGTCTACCACTTCTGGGTAGCCTTTGAGGTGGTGGGCCTTGGGGCTGGGGATGCCTTCATCCTCGGAGAGAGAGAACCAAGTGGGGCTCCCTTCCTCTTAGCTAATGGCCTTAACTATTAGTTCACAGAGCACAGAAGCCACAAGAAAGAAATTCCCTCAACTCTCCTCAAGTAAACTTCCATGCCCCACCCCCCATATGATACTCTTCTTTCTATACCACAGAGAATGTACCTTCTACTCTAAAAGACTAACTCCTGTCTGAGCTCTGCACTGTCTTCCCCTGCCTTCCAAAGAATCACACCCTGTCTGCTATCTCGGCTTTCCCGCATCCCCTTCTCTGCAGGTTCCTTTCAATTTGAGATTTGAACATGCACAAATCTCTTGTCTTTAAAAAACAACAAAAACTCCATTTCACTCTACTTCCTCCTCCAAATACAGCCCTCTTTTGGTGGTGGTCCTCACCATCTTAGTCATAGTCAAATTTTGTGAAGAAGTTATCTATTCTTTCTGTACTCCCTCACCTCAGACTCGTTCCCCAATCGCTGTAAACTGCCTTCTGACTCCACCATCCCCCACAACTTCTATTAGATAGTCACCGATATCCCACATGCCTGCACATTCAATGGGCAATTTTTCATCCTTATCTTGTTTAATGTCTCAGCAGCATTTCAAATGTTGACTTCTCACTTTCTCTTTATAAGCTGAAGAGTTTACTGAAGACCTACCATGTGCCAAACACTCTTCTATGCCCTGAGAATACTACAAGGAATAAGATAAAATTCCTGCCCTCCAGGAGTTCAAAAATCTAGAGGCAAGAGTACACTAACAAATATTATTTCAATCTGGCAAATGCTTTCAAAGAAATAACAGGGCAATGTCTAGGATGTAATGGGGGGAGGCTAACACAGACAAAAGTGTGGTCAGGAAGGCTCAAAACACACCATCTAACATCTTTTTTTTTTTTTTTTTTTTTTAAAAGAGATGGGGGGTCTGGTGTGGTGGCTCATGCATGTAATCCCAGCACTTTGGGAGGCCGAGGTGGGCAGATCACGAGGTCAAGAGATCGAAACAATCCTGGCCAACATGGTGAAACCCATCTCCACCAAAAATACAAAAATTAGCTGGGCACGGTGGCGCACACCTATAGTCTCAGCTACTCGGAAGGCTGAGGCAGGAGAATCACTTAAACCTGGGAGGCAGCTGCAGTGAGCCGAGATTGCACCACTGCACTCCAGCCTTGTGACAGAGCGAGACTCAGTCTCAAAAAAAAAAAAAAGAGAGAGAGACAGGGTCTAGCTTTTGCCCAGGCTGGAGAACAGTGGTACAGTAACAGCTTACTGGAGCCTTTACCTCCTGAGTTCAAGGGATGCTCCAACCTCAACCTCCTGAGTAGGTGGGACCACAGGCATGTGCCACCATGCCTAATTTTTTTTTGAGATGGGGGTCTCACTATGTTGCCCAGGCTGGTCTTGAACTCCTGGTTTCAATTAATCCTTCCACCTCAGCCTCCCAAGTAGTTGTGAGGATAGGCGTGTGCCAACTCCAATGTCATTTGTTGCCTGCCCCACATCCCTCTTTTCCATCTCTTTCTCTTTGGCCATTCATCAGTCTGCTCTGCAGGCTCCTCTTCTACTACTCATCCCATAAATGTTTGTGTTTCTCCGACTAAGAACTGAACTTGCCCTTTGGCTCTTAGCATCACAGAGGGGGTCAGTGGTCCGTCCACTTCCACGGCTCATGGTCCCCAAACCTAGAATCTCAACTGGGCCTGTTCTCCAGGCTCCAGATCCACATATTCAAATACCTACTGAACAACAGCTCCACTGATGTCAACAGCTTTAAACTTTTCAGTTGAAAACTACATTATCGGGCCAGGCGCGGTGGCTCACGCCTGTAATCCCAGTACTTTGGGAGGCCGAGGCGGGTGGATCACGAGGTCAAGAGATCGAGACCATCCTGGTCAACATGGTGAAACCCTGTCTCTACTAAAAATACAAAAAATTAGCTGGGCATGGTGGCACGT